CCTACACGTCAAGACCATTTGAAGGGGAAAGAGATATAGGGAGTTCAGGTTTACAGCATTTCATTGCTACAGAGCCAGCTTGCCTACTTAGCAGCCTGTCCACATCCAAAGAGCGGCGTATAAATCAGCAGAACATGAGCATGTTCTGCACCAAACTTTTAGCAGCAAGGTAGTGAAACAAGGAAACCTCATTTTTTCTGCTCGAGTTAAATTTCTCTCTCTCTTTTTTTTTTTTTTTTTTTTTAAAGCTAGCAGACATTTCTCCTCAACATTGCCCTTACCTTTAAGGAAAGGGTCTGCTTTGGACTGCTTTAAACAAAACGGAGTGGGGCAGAAGTGAGACTGAATGGTCTAGATCATGAATAAGGTGCCAAGGTTAGGGCCAGGATGCTGGCTCCAAAGGGCATTTGCTGAACTCAGTGGCAGACATGAAGCAGTAGTCAAATACTAGAGGAAGTCTGGTTTGCACAAGGGCTTTTTTGTGCTGAGCAGGAAAGCTGTTTCCTTTCCCTGGTCTTATGGTTATTCCCCTTATCACCAGCCTTGCCTCCCTGAAGTAGCAAAGCCCAACCACCAGAGAGCAGAAACCTAGGAAAAATTATTCACTCAAGTCCTTACGGAGAAACACATTTCAACTTTTGTAAGAGAGTTCTCAGGATTAAGCAGCTAAGTATAATCTGCTTCTACGAATAATTCTCAAAAGGCCCAAGTGGGTCAATAGGCATCCTTATGCAAATACAGTAATCTGCATGGAGTTAAACCAGGCCTGAAATTTGACTGACTAGGTAAAATTTACTCTCTGTGAATGCAAACATTAGAAAAATGGTTATATGTTTGTTTTTAAAGGGATATCTAAACCTCAGGCCCCATAAAGAGAGACAGAAGTATCATAAAAGGAAAACAATCTCACCACAAAGGAAAAGACACTATTTCATAGTGCGCCAGCATTTGCTTACCCACCTGACAGAGAGACAGGGAAGACTTCCTCGACTTTATAGCATCCTCATGGACCCTCAATTAATTTGTATTAGAAATAAGGTCCCATTACTTACAGAGGAGAATCTGTAAAGAGCTTCCAGGTATCGCACCTAGAGATACTCTGAGACTAGAAAGGATTCCAGCTTTCACTAGTGCCGTTTTGGGGATTTCCTTGCCAGCAGAACAGCATGGGTTGGGGTTGCTGAACGCACGACTTTGCTGGAAGCAGGGCCCCTACACAAGGAGGATGCAAGCATCAAACTGGCTCTTTTGCTCCGAGAGAGGAATGAAAGCAATCGCTGAAGTAAAGCTGCTTCTACAGGCTGCCCACATTTCTTACAAAAATAGGTACATCATTCTTTTAGATTCAGTGCCTGGTGTGGGAATTTACCAACATACTGTATAAAAAGTCTGTGTAAAGTACCATTTAAGAGAAAGAAATAGTCATGGACCATTTATATATCTATATTTACATACACACACACACACATATTAATAAATATAAAATTTATGTTTACACAGATCTAATTTAATATTCTCTGAAAAAAATATTTAAAGGGTTTATTCCTTAGCTGCCACCCATGAATCGCCAATGGTTTCTTCTACCTTGAGAGCGAAGGGGTTGGCCTGGCACAACTACCCCCAGGCTCTGAAACTAAAGTGACATGTAAGGAAAGGACCAGCCATATACTCTCAAGGGTTTTAATTCAGGGTTGGTAAATTGAAAAGGTATCAAAAGAATTTTCAGAAGGTATCATAAATACAATGGCTACAAGTCAAGTGGATTAAAATTTTGGAATTTAAATATAGTGCTCCAAGAAAACCTAGTATTTTCCAGAATGTCTTGCTCAGTCCAAAGTAAAACATTCATACTGCTGCTCCATGAAAGACTGAATCTAACAGAGAAAGCCCACCTTCACAGCTAGATGTTTTCCGCTTTTGACTACTATATATGTATATATACACGCCTGTGTGAATAAGCACATTCTCTGTCCTGCATATAATGCACCTAGCAAAGGCAACGGCTGCTGATCTAACTAGTCACCATCAAATAGCCACTAGACAGCCACGTAGAGGGAGACACTCCAACACCAAGTCACAGCTGTGTTTTCATCAGATACAGACCAAAACGCAAGAAAGCTTCACTTCCCAATCTCATCAGTTCCAGCACTCCAGATGACCTTGTAGTGTAACTATATTCTGCAGCATGACAACTGGCTCCATTGCAAGCTACACTTTATAGCAGTAGTGTATGCTATAGAAATAGCAGCTTTGAAATATTTTTTCACTCAGAAGAAAAGAAAAAGTTACATAACTGAAAAATGTGTTGTCCACCTGCAACCTAATGCAGCTTCTCACCAGACACGGACCTGCAAGCAATGGTATTAAGTTAGGATCTGGGTTAAAGGACTCTGGAACGGAGAGAAACAACTACGGAGGAAAGAAATTGTGAAAGGAGAGCAGAAACAGGAGCTGTCTGAGAGGCTGGTTGACATGGGAAGACAGATCATTTGCAGCAGGATGACATCTGCAAACACAAAAGCTCAATGTACTGTAATGACAAAACTATGAAGCTAGCCATGTTCCTTTTAGAGGTTCATTCTTAGTGCCCAAGTCCAGCTTACTGGCAGCAGGATTAAAAACAATCCAAAAGATTCTGGGTCAAGGCAGAAGTTGAAAGTACAGCTCCACATTGAATTGAAACTGTCATTTGATAAGGTAAAGCACAAGACATTTATGAAAATGATCAGCACCCCTCAGCACTGCCTTCCTGTTCAAAAAGCTAGAAGACCACGTTTGGCACTCTTCCTTGGTAGAGAAGGATGAGCTGGTGGCATATATACAAATGCAATCCAGAATATTTCCAGGTTATTTTGCTACACCATTTCTCATACTATACTCAAAGGAGTTGAACATGAGTCAGCAGCGTGTCTTTGCAGCAAGGGAGACCTCTCATGTACTGGGCTGTACTTGCAGAAGCGTAGCCAGCAGGTCAAGGAAAGTGATGCGTCTTCCACTCCACTCAGCATTTGTGAGATCATATCTGGAATCTGTGTCCAGTTTTGGGCTCCTCAGTACAAGACACAAACTGACATTCCGGAGCAACTCCAGTTGATGCCCTGGGGGCTTGAGCGCATAACGTTCAAGGAGAGACGGAGAACCAGGCTGGTTTGGATTTGAGAAAAGAAGGCAAAGGACGAAATCTTACTGGTGTCTTGAACTACCTAATAGGAGGGGGCAGAGAGAGCATGGCCAGACTCTTCTCGGAGGTGTACAGTGACAGGACAAGAGGCAACGGACACACGTTGCAACACGCACCACGTGGATGGCCAAACGCCGGAAGAGTTGTGGAACCTCCATCTTTGGAGATATTCAAAACTCAGCTGGACAAGACCATGGACAACCTCATCTAGCTGGATCTGCTTTGAGCAGGAGGCTGTAGCAGAGACTTCCAGAGGTCCCTCCCAACCCGAGTTATTCCATGATTCTAGACATCTATAAATGGCCAACGGCAGAATAGAGAGCTAGAAGGAGATTTCATCTTACCTAATATTGCAGTTTTATGTAATTTATGTTCATCACAGTGAAACTGTGATTTATGAGGCATAGTTTAAACCTGAGAAACAAAGATGGGAACAACCATCCAGTAAGGATTTAATCCTTAAACGCAGTAACCTTGAATAAATGCTTCTGATCCTCAAGTGAAAGGTACAGTAGTTGAACTATCGTTAGATTAGTTCCTTGTCATCCCAATCCCACACACTCAGGCACAGTAGGGAAACTCTTCTCCTTTCACTCTGCATTCTAGCATTTATCCACACCGTGTTAGGGTAATACTAACTAGTTCTTTGGGAAATGTCCTTGCTAGTACGGAGGAAAAGCTCCAACCCCAGATTAATGCCTCCAGCAGGCAGTGAATAATATTCCACATCACACCGCACAAAAGCTCAGGTCAGCTGCTCTCACTTGCTTACATATTGGTCCCCAGCCCTTTCCGCTTCAAATTTTATTTTACTACCAGCTTTTCCCTACTGAAAAAGGGGGAAAAGTGTGGAATTTGACTGATCAGCAGTTGCAAGTCAGTAACAAGTGCTCTGACAAGGCAGATGTCAGAGGCACATGTGAAAGGAAATTAAAAAAAAAAAAAACACGCTGCTTGTGTACAGCCTACTACGTAATGCTCCTTCAGCACTAACACCTTTACTAATGATGCTTAATATCAACAAGCCAGAGGCCTGAGGGACAGTAGTTTCCCCCTTCTCCAATAAAAACAGAGGCAGATCATGGCATCATGATTTCAGAAGCACTGTAAAGGCTGCAGGTTTTTGTTTAACTATTTCTTCCTTTCTATAAAGCTTTAACATGGCTGTGTGAAAACACTTTCCCGAACAAACTGTGCCCAACAGTTCAACATTTCTAAAATATGTAAGAAAAACTAAAAATAAGGCATCCAAATTGACCCCTTTCAACCTGCTCTGGAGCCCCCCATATCCCACACATTTTCATCCTTGAATCCTCTTTCAGCATAGCCTTGGGAAGCACTTATTGCAAGGTGCTGCTCCTGCCAGTGGATAAATATGACTGGATATGCTACAAGGGACAGCATTAATGGTGTAGGGGGGAGCGAGGGAGAAAGGAAGAGAGAGAGGAGATGAAAAGAATATATAAGCTAATCGTGAACTTCATTTCTGTGCTCAGCACTGTGTTGTGTTATCACTAAATCAGACCACATTGATCTCACTGTAAAAAGCTTCCTGTATCAAAAGAGTCAAGGTCAAGACAAAAAAATAACTTAAGTAAATCCGGTAGAACAAAACCAGAACAATTGCATTCAGCTTTTGCAAATTAAGGCAACAAAAGTTGCTATAAACTGACTGCAATCAAAGTGAAATTAATCTGCCATTGCCTAAGACGAGAAAAATATCAAAAAGAAACATCATAAAATGTATTCAACTTTCAAAAATTCAGTTTTTAAGTCTTCCCAGATCTAATTTATAGCAGATCAAATACTTGACATGCCATGACCTTTGTTATCCAGGGAGCAGGAGACAACAGCATAAGATGACCCCCCGCAAGCCTGCATCAATTAATATTGAGGACATGAGGACATGAGATGCAACTCTAAGAAAGTAAGTCTTGGATGACCAAATTTAGGTTAAACCAAGCACTCCAAAGAGCCATTAAGACAGCATTTTCTTTCTAGTTGGAAGCCTCATTCTACATACCATCACATCCTGTGATGTTCTTCTCCTTTCACTGTTCTCTGTAGCGCTCAAAACTGAAAGCCTGGAGAATCAGGACTGATACCTTGTGTAAGAGTGGTGCCACTAGGAAGAAACAAAATGGAAATAGACTTCAAAAAGTTTCACATTGGAGTCTTCATTTAGGACTCTTGACTCAGCACAAAATTTAGCAGTTCCAGCTTCCACTTAGAAATGGAAAGACTGTTGTGGTTCAATTTTTTTTTAAAGCAATTCCAAAGGTTTCTCTGGGGAATTGGCATTGTATTTCTTGCTCATAAAAACAACAAAGAGTTACTATTCTGTGACTGGCACATTGATGAAGAGGGAAGAGTTACAGGTTAGAGTACGCTGGAATGAAGGAGCATTTGAACGCAGCACAGAAGAAAGAAACTGCTACTTGCTTTTCAAAGTGACCTTTGAGTTGCGCTAGACTTCACCTGAGGAAACCAAGTCAAGTAACAGAAATGCATGAGTCACAGTCAGCTGAAACGACGTGGCTTGGAAAAGCAAAGGGAGAAATCCAAAATCTCTTGTTTGAATCCTGTGCTGGCTGCACAGACAGCAACCAGTCAAATGTTTTGTTTTGATTGAAGAGGGCCTACCTACTCTTTGGGCATACTGACTGCAACCCTCAGGGATAAAGGATTATTAAAATGATAGCCACTTCTAAATGAAGAGCCAATAAAATTCTGGGAACTTCTAGGCTCATCCTTCCACCCACAAAATTGCTATTTAAATTTTTTCACATACTGAATGTCAATAGCTGTCTGTTCCAACTAACACAGACGTGCTTTTTCTTTTTTCCTTCCCTCCCCACCCCCCAACTACAAAGTAGTAAACTGATCAACTTTTTAAAAAAATATCAATACAGGAAACAGGACAAATTTTATTGGCGTGTTCACATTCTCCTGTATTTTAAAGGTCTGAAAAAGCATTTTAAAGAGGATTCTGAAAAGATCATCCACAAAACGATCCCCAGAAATCCTAAATTATTCCACACTACAAAAATAAGCTAGACAGCTCTAAGCTGCTCCTCTCATTTCTGTAACCTGCCACTTTCCGAGCTGACGTTTGGCGGGAAGGCTGCCACTAGCAGCTACGGGGGGTTCCTTTACCTTCTGCTTTTCTAAACATGCTGCCTTCTGGACTGGGCAGCGTGTTAGAAGAACGAATCTGGAAGCCTGACATGAGATGTTGCAGATGAGGACCACATTTCTCCATAGCTCCCTATGGGATTTTTAGCAAGAACTGTTACTTTGCCTAATATCAGGCAATGCTGTAACTAGATAAAATTTTTTTTCAAGTGGCATTGCACTTCCTACCGTAGCAGGGGAACGTGGCAGACTGATAGAGCAGAAGCCTAATAGGATGAACTGACAGCTCCAGGTACCCTAAAGGAGAATGGGTAAGTTCAGGGCTTGCCTAATTACTTAGACTTTTTCAAAAGAAAAAAAAAAAAAAAAAGGAAAACCCACTTTGCTAGCTTCACATCCTGAACTGCGTTCTGTTGGTTGCTCATCTTGCACCGACTCACCTAACATACAGGAAAACCAAGTAATCTTCTCTTCAGTGATGCTCTGTAACCTCAGTGTTGTTTCAGAGGCGTGTCTATATCTGAAACAGCATTCACCCAAAATCACTGGTTCGTCATAGATAAACTATGCGGCCCTCTCACTCGTGTATGCCTCCTTGAAGTCCATTTTAACACAAAGGCTTCAGAATAGACAGAACCAATCTGTGCGCTTTTTCACTGTGCCGCACCTAGTCTTCCTAGCAGGAAAGGGAACCTGCAGGCTGGCCTGCTTCAATCAGATTGTGGTCTGTAACAATCCTCATTCACAAAATCATTTCAAAGTACTAAAATCTCATCTAATAACTTGTCATTAAAGGCACACACCTAAATTATAAGGTGTATAGCTGTAGATAAATGAACTGTCCTGAATACTTTGTGTGCCTCTAACTGTGGAGTTTAACTGCGAATCGCAAGCCCAAGAAATTCTTTCCTTCTTTCAGAAATATTTCTCACAAAACAATTGACTTGGATAAAACCCAGGAATGTTTTGTTTTCAAGTGATGGGACTTGGCTATTAAATAGGATTTGGCAAAGAGAAAGGAAACCTAGAGGGGAACAAGTGATACCAGCTGTTACCTCTTGGATCTCCTTCCCTCTCCCCAAGTTCTAGCAGACATTAAACCCTTGTGCTTTACTCTCTAATCCCCATGGGCATACTGACAGTATAATTCAGTGCAGATCGGGGACATCTTTGCAGCACGGTTGTATGGCAGGTGTGCTGCTCTCTGCTCTGGAATAGTACTGTCAGATTTGACAAGACAATAACTCCACAATAAGTTAGTACAGGCAGAGGGAGAACCTACAGAAGACATCCCCTTCATGCTTTCTCTTTTGCCATTACCAAAGCCAGGAAGTTTTCCAAGTTAAAAGATCTCTACTGTGTAGCCAGAAGACAAGTTAGCCAAAGGGATCAAACGTGTAAAACCAAATGGGTTACCTGGAGGCTAAGTTGAGGCCGATTTCTTTGCCAGTCACACAGCATGTCACACATACCCACTTCTCCACATGGTTCAAGTGACTCAAATCTGCTCGACTTGTAAGATGTACTACATACAGAGCCTGGAATATAGCCGAAATAAAAGCCTTCTCCTACCGGCCAACCAAATATATGTTACCAGGAGTGAGGAGAGAGGGAGTCGAGGAACGAAACAAACCCCAAACAGGTTTTCCAAACTGAACTTGAAGACGCCCAAATGACTTTTCCCTCATAGAAAATAAAAGGTCTCTTCTTCCTTGGTTTCTACACACTTACAGAATTTGTATTAAATACTGTTCGTGTACTCTGCTGCCTCTCACCCCAGCACTTAACCTCTCAGTAGCATAACACCAGAGCCTGGCTGCTACCCTCTGTGGCAGAGGGTCACACACAACCCTGGCCTTTGATCGCTGCCCATCTAGTTTTCAAGCCGGGGGCCATACTTCTAGCAGGGATGAAAGCAGACCACTTTAGCGCAGAAGACTGACTGATATTTTCTTAGGTTCACAGAGACAGTGGCAATGTCTTTGATCTCCAATGCTAGTTTTGAACAAACTCTAGTTAGTGCTCCAGCACAGGATGTGAGCACAAAAAAAATTAAATACATCCAGAACCTTTCCGAAACACCCATCCCCAAGTAACCCTCAGTCATCAAGATACTTTAGCTGTCGTCCAGAGCAACTGATGAATAATTGTAAGAAAACACTGAAGCTACAAAACCCTTTGTTTTTAATTTCTTTTCAGGAACCAAATTAATACAGTTCCTCTGTCATCTTATTTTCCCTCAGAGGGAACGGAGAGAAATTGCATTCGGAAATCCAGGTGGTTGAGCCGTGTAACTCTTCCTCCTGAATCCCCACATAAATAAACATTCATTCATATTCAGAATTTTTCTACCAAAAAAAAAATCATTCTGCCTTTTTCTTTAAGCTTGGTACCATGTTTCTTTAATGCTGTTGTTGTGAAATACTGCACCCATCTTTCAGCATTTGATTGCCTTTTGTGGCCCTTTTAAATGGTCCTATGTTTCAAAGCTCTGAGAAGTATTAAGGCATAGAAAATAAGGAGTTTTCCTTCCAGGGAGCAGACTGTATCTGTGTTACATTCCTTTAGATGCTGAACTGCAAATGCCATCCCCTCGGAGCCAAAAGGGGAAAAGACGGTTAAAAAAAAAAAATCCCAGCAGTCATACAATCAGTTGTCTGTATATTTTTTTGAATCAAAAAAAAAAAAAGAGGAGGAAAAATATCCCATAGGTAAAGACAGAACCAAGTTCCAGGTATGGGTTCTTGGGAGGCGTTTTTCATTCTTTTTGGCACCTTGTGATTCTAATAGGTGTTGACCTCCCATTGAAAAAAATCTGACTTTAAAAAGAGCTTTTTATTCTCTATGTTTCAAGCTGTTACAGTCGTGGTTTGTTTTCTTTGAAAGCTGCTTTAGGGGCTGCTGCCATCCCATGCCCACCCTGCACCATTCCAGCTCCTCCCACCGGTTCTTCATTCACTGGTTGCCTGTCCTTGTGGCATTGCGGATGTGATGACACCGGTTTGGGCTGGGACTGCTCCACTGGGCTCTTCTATACGGGGCCTTTTGACTTCAGGTTCACTGGAAGAGGCTGCTGCTGTCTCTTCGGTCCCTGCCTCGCATACCCGGCTGACTACAACAGGAGTGGATGAGCTGGCCTGTGCTGCAAGAAGCTGCAATGGATTTGTAAGAGCTGGGAAGTGGGACGAGAGAGAGAGAGAGAGGGAGAGAAGGGCATTAATGTAACAAAGTAACACAAATGTTTGCCATTCCAGAAAACAAGAAAACAAAATCACAGTCAAATGTGATAACTGGCACATACTCAAGGGCTGTTTTCAAATCCGTTTTGTAAGACTTGCTAGCCTTCTCTCTTTCTTCCCACGTAATTTCAGCTTTGTACAAGTTTACTAAACTGGCAACACACCTTCCATGGGAGAACTTCCTTCTTTCTATCCATGACCAAACAAGGCATTGCCAGCTAGGCATTCGTGTCCACACGCGGAGGATCAATCCTCTGCTAAAGTTACAGTATAACTTTTCTTTGGGAGGTAGCTCTCTGACCACCTACAATCAAATCCTCTTGCAAGTTACAACATCTCTGTGCTGCACCTTTGATTTAGAGGGACCGCTTTGGCTTCTCTGAGACTGCTAGTAAGAAAGTCAACTGGGCAGAGCTCGCACAGCAAGAGCTCCAGCCTGCTGGGAACCAGATTACAGTCCAAATGCCGACCGTACTGATATCTTGCTTTGAGAAGGGGCAGGAAGGCTTAATAACTTTTGATTTGTCCAGATGGAGTAAGTGTTCCCATCAGAACTGGGATTAGAACTTCGGAATTTCTGGCTCCCAATCTTGTATCCCAGTACTGACAAAAGCTCTCACCCTCTCATTAATAAAAGCAGTGAGAAAAGATGGTTTAAGTAGCGACCCTGTGTAAAAGCGTTTACAATTCCTAGTTCCAGACAGAGAATGTGCTTACACACTGGCTTTGGCACACAGCACTACTTGGAAAACAAAACACATGCAGTTTTTGGACTCTGCATCAATAGGGGAGGCAGCCAAAGAGGACTCAGGAGACAGCACATCCTCTGCCCTCCAGACTGATTTGCAAGGGATGGAATGACAGAACATCGGTGGTGTGTTCACTGTTAAGTGCATCAAAAAAAGGAGCCCTAGGATAAATAAACAAAGGAAACAGAACAAAGGCCCTCACAGCCCAGCGACTTCCACCAGGGCATGGGAAGGAGGCTACACAGTATCAAGAGGATGAAGGAAAAAAAACAGGGTACAGATGAGGGCAGTCACCAGTTACAATTCAGCAGCTGACAGAGAACCTAAACCAAGCAGCTGGAGACATTAACTCTGCACAGCCAAAAAAATCAAGAGACCCAGGCTCCATTTTGTCTGCTAGAAAATTCACTACCACTTATTAAAAGCTTAGATGTGAGTGAAATACTTCCAATTTGAAGAGAGAGCGCTAGACAAATTTTAGTAATATTAGCACATCTTAGCATGAATGTAAAATAAGAAAAAATTCCGATTCCAGATTAGATAAACAGTACTGTGAGGCAGTAGCAACTCCACCTATCTGATCCTATTTGATATCTTAGTTGCATAAAAACCTTATTACTATTATTTTTCCATTGCTTCAATAACATCCTTGCAATTCAAGAACAAAGCAGGCAAACCGAGGAATAGACCAGGAGAAAAATCTTGCAGAAGCACTCATATTCTGCCTTAATAAAATTGTCAAAACCCCACCTAGGCCTTTCATTTCAAACTTTCTGTTAGCACCAGCCTGGGACAGCAGAGGTGTCTACAGTTGCATCAGGAAGAAGGGCAGTAAGAAGCCTGCACTTTACCATCCCCAGTCATCATCCTTAACTTGACAAAACCTGAGGGGCCCCACAAGCATAGAAGAGGCTGCCAAAGTGATAGCTAGTATGGGATTTTAAGAAACAGACTTCACAAATGACTACAACACATCCTGTACATAAACTATCCTACATTTATCCACCTACCTGATGAATTAGGTCTTACTTCTCTCAAACCCTAAGCCCTTAAGATGGGAAAGTATAAGTCATTTTCTTCATATTCTATGGAGTTAAGACTTCATGATACTTAAAGAGCACCAAGGAAATTTTATTATTAGGCATACTGAAAGCAAGAGCTGTTTTTGTCAGAGCTAAAAAAAGGCTCAAAACAAGAATCACTAACACTTTCAACAAGTAAGTCTCAAAAGGTAGAGTGTAAGAAGTAATATATGCATCGCCAAGGACACAGAAAGAGACTGGATTTTTCAGAAGCAATGTTGCAGCTGGAAAACTTCTCCACTAAGGAAAACTGAGCAAAGGTGGTTGGGATCAAGGCTTAATTTGTTAGAGTATCTATCACTTACCTTTGCATCACAGAGGTTGCAGAGTGTATAACCTTGGAGTCAGACACACACACAATGACTTGCACAGCTAAGAAGGCAAAACACTCCAAACTTTATACCTTAACTGCAAAGCTTGGAGAGCAATTGTAAACCAGAAAGCAATGGAAACATAGCATACCATAAGCACTGCCAGTGATGCTGTTGGTGGGGACAGCATGCTTCCCGTTCTGGGTGACTGCCCGCACAGGGAGTTGGTGCTGTCCAATGGCCACGGGAGCTGCCTGCTGAAGGATCGTGACTGTCTGTCCTGGGACACCTTGCGCCATCTGACTGGCGACTGTCTGAATAACACGGCTGGCTGTAGGTATCGTGGCAAATGCAATTGTTGGTTTGTCATCCATGCCTACTTGAAGAGCAGAACAGATATTCACCACTGGGCTGGCTTAGGAGCAGTCTTTCTTCTCATTAACATTTTAGCAGTAATACCTACCCCAGGCTTACAAATATGAGAACCCCCCAGCACCACAAAGTCACTTGCCTTTGACGCATCCCACAAAGTTTACATAGAGGGAATGGAAAGCATTGCATCTCAGGGCAAGGCAGCTTAGTCACAAGAGCAACACATTTGTGCTCCGAGGAGCTGAGGGTATTCCTAGAGGCCTAATCCTGTGAGAGGTGCCCAGAACTCTTCAGGCAGGATTGGGCTCTACACACACACATTTTCTGCTGGCTGATTCATACAGTGTGGTCAGCTCTGGGAAGGCAAAGGTTCACTCACCCTGCTCACTAGGGGAAGAACACCGCAATCAGGGACATAACAATAGGGAAGATCAGTCCCTCTGAAATGCTTGTTTTGAAGCATATCAGGTCAGGGATGGATAACTGAAAACACTAAACTCTTATTCTCTGTTGCATAAGCCACCCAGCCAAAAAAAAAAACAAAAAAAAAACCAAAAACCCCCACAAGGTTATAAACTTGACCCTTTGTCCTTAAAAGGCATCTTCTCCCTTATTTGCACGTTGTAACTGCATGTGGACAAGCAGTCACTGCAACATGAGCTATGAGATTTCTCCAATTACATGCCAATTGGCCTGATTCTCAACACCACACAGCAGGAGGAGCCATTAGGATCTCAAACAATGCCTGGGGCCAAAAGCCTACAACAGCTTGCCGTCAGGCCTGCATGTGGGTCGATTCACAAGGAGGCCTTCCCATGACCGCAAGCTTTTGCCAGCTATGGAGACACAGGACGAAATCAGAGGGCTGGGGGTGGGGAGAGCCGAGTCTCTGGGTAGAGATCACTGAGCACACTCAGAACCAACTATTTCACTTCCCAGGGAAGCTAAGGGATCAGTTCCGCAGGTTACAAGACAAGTAAGGGATCAATTCAGCAGCTACAAGATAGTCTCCTGCTGGGCATGCATGAGAGGAGACCCCTTCCTCTCTTCCAGTGGCTCTGTAGGTCTCAAAGCAGTGAAGGCAGTTAGGAAGCGCAAATTCATTACTCCTGTAGGAAGAGAAGACTTGTTTTCCCATATCAACACTAGAAGACCACAGGAGAGGTGTTAGATGTGACAGTAAGCACTGAGCTGGCACCTGCAGGCATGCTGATGGGAAGCATGGGAAAGAAAAGGCAAAGAAAGCCGGAGATTTGGAAGGAAAATGGAGCAATCAGGAAAAACACATGGAAGGTAGAGGCTAGAAAGAGATATGAGAGGGGACAGGAGCTGGAGAAGTAGGAAAAGAAAGAATGACAGCAGAACTAGTGAGTGAAAGAGGGGAACAGGTGACAAGTAGGCAGCTGCTGCTGATGCTTCAGGAACACGGATGGGATCCAGACAGGAATTTCTGGAGAATGCAAGCGTAATTCAAGCACCATAACCAGTGTTGAACTAAAAATGCCAGTGATTGTGCTATTACTGTTGGGAAAGGTCTTTATAATTTCTCCGTTCCCTTAGAGAAGGATCATTGCCACTGCCCGCATAAAAGCGATCAGAATAACTAGTCTTGCTGCACTGCTGGTGCAACACATGCATCTGTCTTGCAGCACTATGCCATTCTGAAGTGTCCAGCAGACAAGGTGTTGTCTAGATGACAGGAAGAGAAAGTATTTTTTATAGTTTAGCTCACTAAATCCCCTGAGGCTGGAATTTCCAGCTTAGGAAGAAAAAAGGGGGGCCCTTGTTGTTACCGGCTTTTGAAGATTTCTCTAATGGGACACTGCCTGCACTTTCAGCAGCCCCTTTTCCCCTAGGAAACGAGGCCCAGGGAAGAGAAAGGTAGCCATTCACTGCCAAGGTCATCCTGCAGCAGAGTGTTGCAGCCTTTCCAATGCCATCTCTTCTGGCTAGATAAGCATACACTTTCACGGTGTACCCAACAGAGCAAATCACAGGCATAATATGAGCACTGGGGCTAATGTTTATATCTGCAGTAAGTACTACACGTTATTTCAGCCTCCAACAAGATCTGTTAGATTAGCGTGTCCCCCTTCATCTCCCATAGGGGACAAAGCAGCATATTTTTTCCTGCTTACTGGTGGAAAGATCAACTGGTTGAGCTCTTACTTGGTTTACGTTTCACCTGGAGACATCTTTTATCAAGGACTAGCCACCTGGTGGATGAAACAGCTGTTTGACCTTCCCATCCTCCCCAAAGGCCCACTCAAACTGTATTAGTCAAATAGCATGGGAGGTGAAAAGCTACCTCGGTGGTCACCAGCTAAGTCCAACACTGCTCCTGCAGCTTCATGAGCTCCTCCTGTTGTGCCCTGATTTGTGAGGATGTATCCGTTTGCAGAGTTTGCGGAGGAGGTCACAACTCGGACCATCGTAACAGTGGGAGCTTGTTGAACTACGTGAATTGCATGACATGAAGGCTGTTGAGAAGTCACTATTGATGCTGGCATGTAGGCAACTGGTTTTGCCACCAGAGTAGATGGCCGGGGAGGAACAGCCATAATCACTGGCTGGGCACTGACCGGAGATCCTAAAACACAAGAGAGAGACATTAGCAGGAGAGCTAAAAAAGCCTCCACTTGTTTTACCTATCAGTTCCAATCTGTAATGCTCAGTGCTGCAGCATTGGCAGCAGGTGCCAAAAAAGCTACCTTCAACCTCACATTTCTTAGCTTACAAAAAAACCCCATACTTGCAATCTGAGCACGCTCTTGTAAACAAGAAACACAGTATGCACAAAAATATGAGGTTTTACCTAATGAGCTTTGCCTTCCAATTGCAATGGAAGGATACCATACGCAAGATCAGTTACAGGACAGCTGACAAGCAGACACAGTTACTAGGGCTTAACAAATTACCAGGTCCCTGAGCACAGCACCATGGAGCTCTGGGCCGGCAAGTTGATTTTATCAAGAAGTCCAGCAAATTAGCCTGCGTGAGCTATGCTCTGCTGTGGCTAGTCTGCTGTCAGTTCCCAAAATTCACTTAGTTTAAGGCGTACTCATGTGCGTCTACACATTTCTTTACCTCCCCCCGCACCAACCCAAAGACTAGCAAGAAAGAAACACTCTGAAGCCATATAAGCATCATCTGTCTCCAACAACAAAGTGGAAAGAGAGGAGACCGATATCCTCCTATAACAGACTGGCAGAAACACGCCTGCAATATACTCAGAATTGCACTCAGTGGAATGAAACACTTCTCTGCGAAATGAGAGCTACTCACCAGGTGCACTTTGAGAATACCGATACTCTGGAACTGAGGCTAATTTTGACCCAAAGTCATGATCATGTGGAATGGGTGAGCCCTCCCGCGACAGGCACTCTGGAGTCTGTAGGCCACTAGAGTGAGGGGACAGCAGGCCAGGGTGAGTAGGGGAGGCGGGAGCGCTCCTGCAACACCAGAATGTAGCGTTGGCAAGTGTAGATGCTTTTTGACCACAAGACAGCAGCAGAGAACAAGTTATCCCAGATACAGGATCTTCTAGGAGGAAGACAGCCATTTTTCCGCATTACCCACTACCGACTTGTCAGGAATAACCTTGTATACACACTCTAGCACCAAATGCAGCTGTATTACTCACTGCTGAAAAAACTGGACCCTTCAAGACCATGCTCTAGGTTTAATGTTTAAGACTTCCGCTGCTGAGAGGAAAGCTCAAAGTGCCTCATCTTTGGATTTTAAAATTTCAGGCCGCTCTCAAAGAATCTTTGTCACTATTCAGAGCGATGGGGAGAGAAAGAGGAAGAAAGATACAAAGTAGATGCAAGCGTCTGGCCCCACATATGCTTACAAAGCAGCTGCTCCCCCTTCTCCCTCTTTTCTCCCTCCCCCAACCGCTTGGTTCTTGCCCCTGGCCCCATGTGGCCAAACAGAGGACGAATCCAACACTTCCTTAAAGACAAACACGGCTGAGGAACGGATCAGCTGAAGAGATCTCCCCTTGTCTCCCCCTGTTTTCAAAGGGACAGAAAGGAAGCGAGGTGTGGGAGGACTGTTACGAGAAACGGCTCCAGCCGGGGTTCGACTGCAGGTCTCCACCCTGCAGCTATAGGGCGCAGAGAAAGTCGCGGCACGTCTCTCCTCTTTTATAGTTACACCATTGACAGGAGTAGTTGCACAGATCCCTCCCCCCCAGTGCTTCATCTTGGACAGCCACAATGAACATGATGTTCCCTATAGGAGAGTGTCTTAAATACCACCAAAAAAAATACTTCCACTGGGATCTCATCTACATCTAAACCCAGCTTTCCTGAAACGAAAGACTGGCATCCCAAAGCATTTACTCTATTGATAACCGTTCTGAACTTCTTTGAAATTATGCCAAAACAGATTGATCGTTTGGTGCGTTGTTGTTTGGTTCTATGGTGTGCTTTTTTTTTTTTAAATCTTTTTTAAAGCTTAAGAAGTCAGAACAGTTTTCTGACCATGCCTCAGGACTATCTAACTACATTACCACTCAAAACTGTAAACAGCAGTAAAGTCTGCTCACTGTACTTCAGGAAAGGTTTACGTTTGTTTTCTTTGCAATGAATTTGGCAGAGAGATTAGAAGAAGTTGAAGTTACCTGGAGGAGAGAGGCCCAAAAGGTGTTCGGAAGCAAGACACTCCTCTTTGCCTTCGTTTTCTAAAGGCCTGCTCTACGAGTTTGGCTTCAGAGGCAGGGTCAATTCGCCAGAAAGAGCCCTTTCCAGGCTCCTCCTGAGAGCGTGGGACTTTAATAAAGTAACGGTTCAAGGAGAGGTTGTGCCGAATGGAATTCTGCAGGAAGCAGAAGAATGAAGTGATTATTTTGCCACGAGGAAGCACATAACAAAGACAAACAGGCTTCACTACACAGTCCGGACGAATAAAATGCCCCCTGTCAGAATCTGTGTTAAAGGCAGAAGCAAGTCACTCCCACAGCTCCAGAGTCACAGAGGAACTGCAAGAGAAAACCTGGAGAAATAAGTTGGACATAGCATTTCTACTAGCCACGCAGAAAGATGGATTTGCTTGATCACTTAGACATCACTTACCTCTAGAGCCAAGGAGTACTGTAGCTATGCTGTGGAAAGAAACAGAGGAAGATCTTTTGCTGAAGCAGGGGGAAACAAGTGGAAACCGTGTCAGAACTCACTCAAAAGACAGATTTTATTCTAGACAAGTGGAAAAAAGTTGTCTGAGCCTGGGCTAACTGCTTACCTGCCAAACGATCACCGGGGTGTCTGAACATGCCCTAAAGGACACTGCATCTCACGGTAATCATCATGCAAGCCAGCCTACATGCCTTCAGATAGCTATCTCCGAGAAGAATCCATTATTTATGTGGCACCAGCCTAGCACTGTACAGCTCTGCAGATGTTGACAGGACTAGTTATTCTTACTCACTGCAAAAGCCCATCTCTGGGTGTAGCGCTGTCTGCTGGGCTAGGGGAAAGGCCCAGGCGTGCATAAACTTATGTTTTCCACTTTCAAAATAAAACAAGAGCTTTTGTAGTAGCTTTAGACAACAGAAGCTCTTCACAAGTAAAGCCTTGCACGACTGCTGGTAGGGAAAAAAAGCAGGCTTTGAATGCAGGATGCAGTGACTGGTTCGCAAAGCACCGCAGCTCTGCAGAGCAGGTTCAGGCAGGAAGTGAATTCCACAACTAATTAGAACTGGAGGAGAAAACCAGGGAGGCAGCATGTATTTATTCCAGCTGTACTCAAAGTGCACCGAGCCGTACTGCTCCTGCCAGTTGTACACAATAAACTCAGCAGTTGCAAGAGTCTTTCCAGATGCATTGGTATATTCTATCCAAAAGACAACACCCATTTCAGAGGTGCAGTGCTGGGGCAGGGGAAGCAGGTGGAGCTGAGGTTTCTGAGACTTTGAAAGCAGCCCTCAAGTGAAAACTGAGGCCTGATCTAGCGTGTGTTAACTACCTCCAAGCTCTCCTATGATTTCCTTTAATACCGCAAGGAAGGTACAGACTTGATGTTCCCCAAGTTCCCATTTTGAGACTCTAACATTGCAAGCTGTTACTTAGGCAACACAGTTAATATACTGGGGAAAGAAAACACCTGAGATGATTTAAGGAGTTATGATTAAAAACTGGGACATCAGTTTGAGGCCGGACATCTTCTGTTTGGACAGATCTCTCCAAAGAGAGACAGGAAGCATGAAGGACAAAGCAAGATTCAGGTTAACAGTCTCTGAACAAGGGAGTGACTGCTGATAGCAAGGACACGAAGGAATAAGAAAAAAAAACACACAAAAATTGAAGAGGGATGACTGTGAACTTAACAGAAAACAGGCCGGGGTGATAACAGGGTTTCAAAAACAACCAGAAGGCCAATCGTAACACTCAACACTGCCCCAGAAAATCTTCCAAAAACTAATCACCCACAAGCAAACTATTTAGCTTATGTTAAACAAATTCATCCTGGGAAGAGTCAAAGCAGTTCTATCCCCAGTGCCCCAAATCTTTATTAACTACGTTTCACAGGCAATAAGCCCTATTGAAGTAGTTTAAAGGCTTGTCAGTCTCAAGAACTCACCTGCCAGCCTTTGTCAGCAGTCCTGTAATATGGATAATGCTTGGTAATGTGGGCATAGATCCCACTTAGTGTTAACTGTCTGTCCTGTGCTGAAGATATAGCCTGCACAATCAGCTGAGCGTAAGAATACGGAGGCTTGGACTCATCCTAAAGAAGAACACACACACACACAAATGTAGTTACCAAATCAGAATTCTTATGCCGCAGTTTACCACCCAACCTGATTAAGAAAGCACATTCGGCTGTATTTCACAAGCACTAAGAGAGCATAAGGATGGCAGCTAAAAGCAGTACCATCCTCTTCCCTTTCCCTCCTGCTCTGCACTGTCATCCCCCAACTCAGCATAAGCAGTTGCATGCAAATAGGCCTAGAGCCAAGTTAAAGTCTCTCTCTCCACCCACCACCCCCAAAAACACAGAACTTTAATCTGGTTCCATTCCCTGCTGAGTTTGCCACACATGCTCCTAGCATCATGAGGGGCAGAATCAGGACAAGCAATTGAAAGAAAGACAGAGCTAGAGGCTGTAGGGTACATCCACTGTTGTCAGCGTTCATGAAACTAAAGCCTTAAATTCTACCCAGGTACAACTAAACTTTGTTAGAAAGGCTTCATGAAAGCATGCTACCAGCTCTCCTCCCAGCAACAAGCCCAATATGAAACCTGATCCTCTCCAGGAGGATTTGTTTCATTCTAGGAACTTTGACTCATGGGCCAGATCTCATATTCCCAGCTCTTCATATTACTCCATCAAGAACAGCCCTTCTTGTCTCAAGGGAGAATTCAACCTACAAAAAAGCCATCTAGCACTGTGCTCCTCCACCCAATCCCAAATCAGGTGGTTTTCGATCCAGACCTTCAACTTTGATCTGAAGATCAGCTCACCAAAATTAAATTTTATCATTACAACTCAGTTATTTTTTAATCTAAATTTCACTTGCTACTCTCCTCATTTAACGCTTGCTTGACAGGCCTTTGTTTTGAAGTCAGACTACAGACTTCTCACGGTGAGGATCCTGTTTCTTCCCCTGCTTCCCCTTTCCCCAACCGCATTTTGCAAAATACCATTAATTAAATGGAGAAAAAAAGACTCTGAATTTTAATACTCTTTATAGCTTCTGATTTATCAAGCAAGCAAGACAAATTCTTCTAGCTTAACCCTTTTAGGGAATGACTTAAATGCATTTCAGCAGCTAAGCAAGCAGATTTGAAGGCACTGTTGCAAAACCCTGGACAATACTAAATATAGTATCCCTATAGGATACTGTATTTAATACAGGGTATTCTTAGACCCATTTATTGCACTGGCAATAAACCACAAGGTCTTAATAAGTCTCCCAGTGAACACTGCTGGGTAAGTAATGTTTCTCTGAACCTTTGGGCTGTCCCCGCCAGATGCATCTGCCTGCTGTTCTGATGCTGCTTTTGCGGCATATTCTGCTGCCAGCTGCAGATCCGAGGTAATGTTGTGAACAAAACGATATCCTGAGGATCCAGCGCCACGTGGACTGGCCGGGCAAGAGTTGGGAACACTGGAAAGAAAAAAAAGGAAATACAGTTATTCATTACTTTATTTATTAGCAAGGTAGACATACTTCTTACATCTAAGATACAGCAAAGCTTCCAGGTCACTGAGAAGGAGGTAAGGACTGGACCTTTTTTTGCCCCTGTGGCTTATTCAAAGCACAGAAAGACTGAAAAGAGACACAAACAAACACACACCAGTGACAAAAGCAGAATTCCTACAGAGTCTGATCCCCACTCACCTTCACACAATCTCAAAGCATTAAACAGCTTCTCTATACATGGGACTTCACTGAAAAACACATACCACTGTATCAGGGATGAATACTTAAATAAATAAAAAAATGACTTGCAGCTATAAAGCTGACAAAACATCACTCTCTTTATGCTACAAACGTTTATTCAACTTTTCAAACAGATACAGGCTACCTGCCTCTACAGCATCAAAGTTAAAACACCCAGTGCAGTCACCTGCCCCAAGGGTTCCTGTCTAATAGGAGACATGGGCTTCAGACGCCCAAACATCACACCAAGATTAATGCCACATAGCTAGAGACAGGCACTTCCCTGATTCACCAGCACACAAGCACAGATAACAAAAGGGAGCCACACTCACTACTATGCAGTGCAGGAGGTAGCTTATCTCATCAGTTCTGGTTAGCATGGGGGAAAAGACACATTTAGAGCTCTAGGACGACCACACGATGGCATTACAGGAACAACTACAGAGCAGGAAAGCCACGCTAAAGTTGAGAAAAAGCTACAAACAAATAAAAGGTCACTGTAATTTGTGGCACCACTCAGGCACTCAACTGAGTGCTACAAGATGAGAACTAATCAGCAAGACTTGTCAAGGGATCATGCATCCTTGATTTGCGGGGTAGGAAGGACAGGGGAAGAGGGACGAATCTGGGAATCTGAAGTTCCATGTTTTGGTCTTTCCTCCCTTCTGTACTGCTCTGCGCTGAGGGGTGCAAAGCCAGAGCACTATGACGCAGAGTCAAGTCACAGGATTACATACGTCCTCTGCACAAGAGTTGGAAACAATGAACAAGAAAGCAAAACAACACACTGAAGATTTACATAGCAACACCAGCAGTTCAAACTGAAAAGATGCAAATTGAAGCCCACAGCTGGAAACTAGAATTCACTAAAAACGGCATGAACAATCCTCTTCCCTGTAAAATGCTCAACAGCAATGCTAACCCTGATACAAATGAATGCAACAACTGACACTCATCATGGCATTGTGCTAAATGCCATAACAACAATTAAAAAAAAAAAGAACAAAAAAATCACAGTCTCCTCCTCAAAAGCTGCCCGTCTAAATAGCTCCTCCCCAACACCCTCGCAAGCACTTGTTTTCTCAACACGGACAATCCCTTCAGCACACAAGCAAATTAGCAGTGTAAAGAATGACCCTTTCCTAACACAGTCCACCCTGTAAACCGAGAAGCGCTGCCTCTCACTGCAGCTTCTTTGCAAACGCTGTAGTGCTGAGCTCAGCAGAACTGAGACTTCTTCCTTTTAAAAGTGAATTACTTCACTTTTTCACAGTAGATCTGTTTGTGCAGGAACGCAAATCAAAGTTAGCGCTTCCATGCTTTGGACCCACTTTGGAAGTGGATAGTGTCAAAGCACAGAAGACACTCTTGTCGCTCCCCAGGTGAATACTAAGACATCGTGAATTTAATTATGCATCTGTCATTTTTCAATAGCTCCTCCATACATATGTTACTTATAACATGTGGATAACTACAAATGAAAATCGTTTTCATACATGAAACAATGACAAGCCAAAGTCCTTGTATTTGGCAACCAAGCAGTTACTGTAACCCATGGACGGGCAGTGGAATAGGATGAAACAGAATTTGCCAATTTTGTTCTTCGTCATTTGCACAAATACACGAACAGCAAGCCAAAAACACAGCAGCTAAGACTTAGGTCAAGCATACGGAAAAGAAAAGTCCTCCAGCACCTCCACTACAGCACTTCGCCAGGGCTGTATTTCTTTGCATTTTTTAAAACTAGGATGGCTTCAAAGACCGTTCCAAAGCAGATCAGACACAAACACTGAGCTAATTCTTCCAGATCAGTAGAGGAAGCAGCCCAGCTTTTACTGTTCAAATCTGAGCTTCTGAAGTTGATAATCTTGTAAGTATGACCTCTTGTTAAAAAAAAAAAAAAAAAAAAAAAAAAAAAAAGAAAAGGAAAAAAGGAAGAAAAAAAAAAAAGAAAAAGAAAAACAGCAACACCCTGCAGGGCTGTGATTCTATTAGAGTCAACAAACCTCCTCAACCTGAAGTTTTGCTAACTTTTAGAAGACAAGCCAGTCTCTCCCAGTGGAACATCACTGAAGAACCTGATCGTCTCCTAATGAGGCAACAGTCCCACAGCAGTATGTGAAGACCTGGGAGTGGTATCTTGCTTATATCAGAACGGAGCACTTTTACCCAGGTAATCCTACCTCCTTTTAGCCTGGATTAATGATCACATCAAGAGCCACTGGCACCAAATCAACAAGAAAACTTTCAGCTGCTCCATGAAGAGCTCTCAGTCCATCACCAGAGAGCTCTTAGGAGGGACGGACAGGAGAAAGAGTGCTGACCACTGGAAAAAACAAGGAGACAGAATCTGTTGCCCCCCACTCACTCCCCCCTCCCAAGTGGGACAGGAGGAGTAAAGAAACAGTTTTACTAAAAATACCCTCTGAGGGTTAAGTTAAAATTAAACATTGGTGCAGTTTAAAGAAAACAAGCAAACACAATGCAGTGACATCAATTTCCTGGAGTTCCTGGAATTCTCCTCACCACCCAGTGCAGGGGCTGGTCAGGGAAGCTTGCATGTACTCACACCCCCTTTAAAAATACTATGGAACAAAGACTTTTTCCCTGCGAACACCTGTTTGCGCTATAAAACACATGCAGTAAATGCGGGGACAATGATTACAATGTGTTGGATATAAATACTACATCAATACTTGAACAGATAACTTGATCCACTTTAATACTATAACCTTTTCCTGATAAAAGCTACAGATAGATACGCAGTTTCACCCAGCCCTCAGACAGCCAAATGACATACTGCCCTGATCCATGCTCACTGTCCATGCAAGCGCTCTTAGCTTACAAGAAAGGCAAGATTATCTGAGTGAAACTTGTGAAGAGGGCATTTTAGAGAGGAAGCAAATGTTTTCTCACATTGAAAAAAACACAGGGCTTATAGGCCAGCTGCAGTTACCCACAGTCTTAACCCCAGAATTGGGGCGTTAGCTGTGGTGTCACAGCCAAAGTCTTGCAGAGATTTTTGATATCCACTAAGGATTCTGGGCCACAGTTCCCCAAATATCACGCTGAGACTCAGACTCAGCCTTTAGACTCACACTACAATCATATGCTGAATCACATCAGTCCTTTGCAATACATTTTCCATTTAATACTTAACCCTTCTTTAGTTGTAAGACCAGAAAGGCAAGGACTGAATGCGGCATCTGCAATATATTCATCCCTACAATGTGCAGAATGTGTTTTAAACACAGAGCTTATTTCTGGCTGTTGAAGAATTTGACAAGTCTTGCAGCATCATAATTCACTTTTAACTCCTGCCAACATGAATCCAGCCTCTTAAGGTCACAGCACTTTCTAGCAACTAATAAGTCTTTAAATATCAGCTCCTGGAGAAGATGTGCAACTTACTGCATTTCTGCTGTAATGTCAAAAATTGGTTTACTTTAGCTAAAACAGGATGTGTCACTGTATGTGTGGAGTGTCCATATCTAGAATGCAGTGTGCTGTTCTGTCTCCTCTCATCTCAAAAAAAGGATACAGTAGAGCCAGATAAAGTACAAGTTAGAGAAACCGGGATGGTGAGAGATATGGAGCAGATTCCACACGTGAAACAGATAGTTTAAGGCAGACAACTCAGGTGCAATGTGATAGAATTTATAAAAACACAAGCAACAGAGAAGGTGTTTGGCTCCTGGTCTCTGCCAATCCAAGCACTATTGAATACAAAATGAAACTTAAGTGGTAGGTCCAAAATAAGTGTTTCTACTGAACAGTTACCTGCGGAACTACATGCTGTAAGACAGGGCAGATGCTGAAAGTCTATGTGAATGCAAAAAGCCATTATACAAATCCATGGAGAAAGGAGGAGGACAGAGGATCTATCAGGGGCTTTATTTGGCAGGAGATCAGGAAGTCTCTGATGCAAGAGACTAGAGGCAACAAACAGAACAAAGATTTAGCATTATTATATATTACCCGGGCCCTTACACCCTCCCAAAGTTGCCTGCTACTGACCACTGTCTGAGACAGAATCCTGGGCTAGATGGATCTGTTGCCTGAACTCATACAGCAATTCTTACACGTAAAATCTCCAAACAAGCTCTCTCAGTATTAGCCACATTTTATAGACCGGGAGCAACAAGCGGTTAAATGATTTATGCTCATATTACAAGTCTATGAACAAGCTGAGAACAGAACGCACTCCCAAATACCACTGCCAATTTCCCCAGAAGGAGCAGCACTAAGAGAATGCAGGAAACTTGCCCTGTTACTTAATCCTGTTCTTCTCCACCAGAGAAATATCTGTAGGGCTCTAGCTATAGAAGCATAATTTAAGCCAGGTATATGGATGAAGTACCTATCTTCTCTGGGACAAAGAGGAAAGATTACCTCAGATCCCACAAAAAAAAAAAAAATTGTTCGCCTGACTTAGAACCTGCATTGATAAAGATGACGAAAAAAACCCTCTCCAATTTTGTGCTTCAGGATAGAGCATACATATGGATAGCGTCTTCGAAAACTGCCAAAACGCTCATTTGCAAAGCAAGCACAAAAGACACAGCAGTGTTAAGAGTTACTACCCTGGCAACACTGCTAATACACAGATTCCTGTCTGAGCAGGCTTTTTTTTTTTTTTTTTCTCTCCTTTGGACCCAATTCAGTTCAAAGGGAGAATCCTCATTTCTTAACAAAATCTTCCCCACTCTCCTCCCCAAATGCAA